AGGGATGCCAGGGCGGGACCGCGGGCGGGGAGGGAGGATACACAGGTAACCAAGACATGAGGATTATTTTAGAAGCTGCTGCCTGGACTGCAGAGCCAGGCAGCTCCCACCCTGGTTGCGATGGGGAATCCATCAGCTGGAGAAACGGGGCAACTGCTTACCAGGGAAATAAAGAGCGGCAGAGACAGAGAATATTTATACGCCCATCTCCTCACGCCCAGAGAAGATGCTTCATCATGGGCGCTGGCTGCGAAATTACACTTTCCAGGCTCCGGGACACAGACAGCCTTTTGTCTGGAGAACAGTAAGGGCTTCACAGGGACAACAGCCCCACCGGGTCACCCTCTGCCCTCCTGCAGAGCTAAACTGGAGGGGAGGGGACAAGGCATGGACAGGTGGGGCCAGGACCAGAAAACTGCCCACAGTGGCCACGAGGCTGGTACTGACCAGCCCCTGGTCACCTCCCTGGTTGAGGGAAGATGAGGTAAAAATTCACTTCCTCATGCCTGGGACTCATGTATGCAGGCCCTGGGAGGACGGCAAAACCCCTGCTCTGGGTGCGAGGTGACAGAGGTGGCAGGAGCACAGGGCCGCTGGAAGACAGCCAGGCAGGAGGCCGCTGCTCTGTCACAGGGAGCCAGCAGGGTGACGGTGTTTGAGTTGGAATTGCTCTATGAATTATGGCTTTCTTCACTTTTAGCCACCCACGCCATCACAGAGCAAGTCCGAATCATGAAAGGTATTTTGTCTTTCAAAAAATCCTTTTCTTCAAAATTTGCTCAATGGCGCATATATTGATTCTAACTTTAAAACATGACCGTCCTTGGGCGTTTTTGGTGAAATTTCACCCAAGTGCATCAGGTACCACGACTCCTGGGGAGACCCTGGTGAAGAGCAGGGCAGCCACCTCTAACCACGCTCCACCAGCTGCGGGGTGCCCTGACCACTGCGCCATGTCGCACGCTGGGCTGGGATGAGCAGGCCTGTGCTCCACTTTGGGGGTGAGGGGGCCTGGGAACTTGCCCCAGAGCTAAAACTATACGGCAGATTTGTCCGCTACTGCAGGCATCCACATTGGGAGGCTGTGTCCTGTCCACCATCTACACAGCCCACGAGGGTCCCTGCAGACACCGGCATCTGAATGGGCTCTCCCCTTCCAGTTCTCCAGGGCAGCCTGGCTGTGCGGGCCCAGCAGTGCATGCTCCCTGGGGCCCCTCAGGATGCTGGGGGCTGAGGGACACTGCCCACCCCTAACCAGGTGATACCCCATTTGTCAATCAGTGCTGGGCAGCTCCTGGGTCAGGCCATCTGTGTCCTTGTGGGGGTGGGGGCAGCTGTGCTTGGCTGGCTCTGGGGAGCTCCCTTTGGCTGCCCATGTTCCTAACCTCCATGCTCAGAGTGCACAGGGTCACACGGTTTGTTGGAGGGTGGCCGTCCCTGAAGCTGAATGGTGGCAACTGTGTTTGGGCTTCAATTCAGAAACATCCCCCAGGCAGGGCATGGTGAGGACAGTTAACACTGGCAGGAGGGACACTGGCTGCTGTTCTGGGAGGACAGGACAGTGCTGCCTCAGAGCTCACACTGCTATTTCCCTTCAAGTTGGGACCACTCTGTAGTAGATAAAGACGGTCATGTATTTAGCCAGGTCACACTCAAGCCCCACTGCTCAGCTCTGGATTGCTGCTGTGGGGGGCTGGCCAATCACTTAACTTCTTGGGTCCAGACTTCTGTAAATGGGTGGACCCCACTTCCTCCCACGGGGTTCAGAGGGATCGTGAAGGGCAGCACCTGCCCGGTACAGAGCAGCCTCTCCCTGGAGGCCGGGCTCGCCACCCTGTTTGGGAATCCCGGGTGAGCCTGGGGAGCTGTTCTGGACAAGTGGGAGCGTGGTCAAAGGTCTATGCCCCTGAACCTGAAAGCAGTCTCCCACTTATATTTACTCTATTTTTTTTTTAATTTAATGGTATAAAACACCAAGGTTTACAGTGAACAAAGCAAATTTCTGAGCAGAGACTTCTCCACCCCCAGGCTCCTCACCAAGGGCAGCCAGACCTGTTACAAATGAAAGGCACAAAATCAAACTCATCTCGACCCAGGGGACACTCAGCCCACTCCAGGGCCAAACTCGCAGAGCCCAAGAGTGACAGCCAGTCGCTTGGTTCTGGGTACCACTTCTCCTTGAGCCCCCAACTCCCACGAGCAATGCTGAGTTCAGTGGCTAAAAGAAGCAACTTCAGGTTTATTTATGGAGAAAAGCCTCTGCCACGGCTGCGGAAGGAGCCAGCTGGCCAGAGTGTGTGGACATCAACGTTACACGAATGGCTGTGCACATGAATGGGTGGCATAAGGAACTTTTAAATCCTCAAGTTAAATGAAAAACTCTGCGGTGCTCTCGACTGCGGCGATACTTGTTACGGCTTTCTACCCTGTTTTAAGGTTCTAACCTCTCCCCACTCCCCACGTTTCTTTACATCGACTTTAATTTACTTTAATAGCAAATACAGACCTGTTTTGTTATTTTTTTTTGAGATGGAGTCTCACTCTGTCGCTCAGGTTGGAGTGCAATGGTGCAATTCCGGCTCACTGCAACCTCCGCCTCCTGGGCGCAAGTGATTCTCCTGCTTCAGCCTCCTGAGTAGCTGGGACTACAGATGTGCTCCACCAGGTTTTACCATGTCGGCCAGGCTGGTCTCAAACTCCTGACCTCAGGTGATCTGCCTGCCTCAGCCTTCCAAAGTGCTGGGATTACAGGCGTGAGCCACCACACCTGGCCCAGACCTGTTTTTTTTTTAAACCCATCGCTAAAACCAAGAAATACAGCTGGCTTTGGTCCATAGGGATGGCACTTTCGGCCCCAGCAACAGAGCAGTGGGACAGCGGAATGGGTGGGCCTGTGCCGACTCACGCCCTTCTCTGTGGACAAGGAGAATGGTAATGATGGTGACGGTGGTGGCTGTGATAATGGTGGCAGCCAGCAGCCACTGAAGCAGGCACTGGTCCAGGCCATTCACTGGACCTTTGCAGTTAAACCCACATAGACTCTGGACTAAGCACTATTACTATCCTGATTGTGCAGAAAAAGAAATGTTGGCTCAGAAAAGTCAGTGGAAGATCTGAAATTCTAGCCAGGCACTGACTCCGGGGTGTGCCCCCGCCCCTGGCTCTGCACCTCCTAGGGGTGGCCACACTGTGACTCGGGAGAGCCTGACATTGAGACACTACATTGTAATGAATCACAGATTTCAGTCCTTAGAGTGGGGAAGAGAATAAGGTTTACAGGTTCCCACCACACGCCCTGGGCCCCACATTGGGACCCTCACCCACTTCACCCCACCCCAGTACCTCAAAGGCCCACCAGGGTCAGGAACTAGGCTGACTGGCCTCCTAGGCCCCATTTTCCCACCAGCCTAGAGCGCCCCCTTGGAAGGACACAGAGCCACCACTTTCCGTCATAGTGGAGAGGATTTGGAGCGCGACGCACTGGGTCTCCATCTTGCCTTGGGCCAGTTACTCCAGCTCTCGGAGTCTCCATTTCTCCCCATGACACAGGGAGGAATGAGGCCTGGGGTAGGAACCAGTGATCATGTATGGAAAGCCTCAGGCCCTAGGCTGAGCACACAGCAGGTGCTTAAACAGTGCCACCGTTAGGCCCACAGGCAGGCCGGTGCAGAATGGGAGAGGAGATGGCCCGACGCTGGGGCCCTTGCTACCGGCACGTCCCACCTATACCCATTTGGCATTACAAAGCACCGCATGAGACAGGCTCTGCCGTGATCCCAGGGTCAACAGTGGGGATGGGACTTGCCCCCGTCCACGGTGGAGTGGGGCTGGTCTGGAGGTATGTCAGTGTAACCTCTGCCCTGGTGACCACCTGTGGCAGCCGCAGCCCCTCTGAGGCCTTGCCCACATCCCCTGGGCTGCACCCCACGCAAGGTCCTGTGCAAATGGGGCGTCCATAAGCAGGTGGACCTCACGGCCACCCACAGCTCCCTTGCTCTGAGAGGGGCAGGCGTGAAATTTTATGCACGCCTATGTTTCCAATGTCCTAGCCAGCCATTTTTTCCCTGAGTTATCAAAAAAAGAAAAATCTATATATGACAATCAGGTTGGTTTTTATGATTTACTGAAAATCAAAGACAAAGGGGGACTTTTTTGTCTTGTTTTTGCTATGACAGGTTTAGAAATTTGTTGTACTACATTGATTCAATTTTGCTTGATTTCAGCCGTCTTTCAATAATGCAACCGGCTTCTGCTAGCTGGGTACACGAGAGAAAACCCCAAGGAATGGAGAATATTGAAATGGTTCTACCATTTCCATCTTTGAGATGAATGTTCCTCTCGGAGGAGAGCTGGCTGTGGCGTGTGACTGCTTAACAACCCGCTCTACAGAAGAGAAGCCACACACCCTGTGCTGTCTTAAGGAAACAGGAGGGCCCTGGTGGTCTGACTCAACCCCCTTTCCTCAGAGTTATCATCCGCACACCAGTCCTGGGTTTCTTTCTTATTAGGAAAATGTGCAAACTGTTTGAAGCCAGGCTGCCAGATGCGTTCCAGCTTATGAAGCACAGTGGAAGGTTCCCCGACCTGCCCCTAAATCGTGGAGAGGCTCGGTCATTTCCCGAAACTCCTCCTGGTGGCAGATAATAAAACAAAACAAATGGAGGAAGAAAAGTCAACCTGGTGCCTGTCTTCCAACCTCCACCTTCCCAAAGCTGAGACTTCCTTTAAAAAAGGAGAACTGAGGCTCCGTCTGTCATGTAAAACCTTCTGACTTAGAGAAGACAAGATGTGGGTCATATTTGACCGGAAGTAGGAAATACATTAGAATCAAGTTACTTTATCTAAGGAACACATTTGGGTGAAACGAAAGTGTTTTTCTCAGAAGAAAGGGACACCTCCACCTGTCCCTCTCCTGGAGTGGGTCCCTAGGGGAACACGAGAGATGCCGGTGTGCGGGCGATGGCCCAGGCCTGCCTTCCCCTCCCCGATGGCTTGCTTACCTCTTTCTCGATTTCTGCTAGAGATTTGATGGTGATTCCCAGGAGATCAAAGGGCTGCATCTGAAAATACAGACGAAGTCGCCCTTTTAAATCACTGGAAAATGCTCTTCCCACACTTACTTTTATGCATGACAATGTTAATGTCTCAAGCCATGGTGTGATCTAGCGTTTCTCTACCCACTTTCCACAGGAAGACAGTCAGTGGGATTCTCGGTCATGCGTGGGGGTGGCAGAAGTGACAATACAGCCTGCTGCAGGAATGTGGCCCCCAAGGCGCCAGCCCCTGTGCAGCGGGACCTCTGCCTAGCTGTGGTCGGTGGCACTCACAGGGGTCCAGGTCTCCTGGAGGACTGACCATGGCTGCCCTGCTTCACCTCTCTTCTCCCCTTGCCAGCGGAACACGAAGGCAAGATTTGCTCTTTCTCGCTGCAGCTGTAAACTGGAGATGCCCAAGCTCTCCCCGGAGGCCACCCAGGCACTGTGTCTGGGTAAGGCAGGAGGTTTAAGGAACCCCAGGGAGGAAGAGTTCCTTAGGGGGGAATCCAGGGCAGGAGCTGGGGGGGATTCCAGGTCTTTGGAAATGCCAGGTAAATGAAACAACTGCCCATCAGTTATCATTTGAGAAATCAATGTGGTAAAAAATGATAACATTGCATTTTAATGAAAGTTTTTACAATTTCATGAAGATTGGAGACTTAAAAAAATCCTGGCTTTTCAACAGACAGCATGAAAAATCAAATACACATGGCAGTGAGGGAGCTGGAGGCCCACAGAAGCCTGGACTCAGAGGCTCGGAGGGCGGAGGGCGTCCAGTCCATGTGGCTCCTGGTCTGAGTCCCTGCTGGGCACGTAAGTGTTCTGTGTTCCCCAGAGGGGTCCCTGGCCCAGCCTCCTGGGGCCCAGGCTAAACCTGAGGGCCTTCGACAGAACCCCAGGGCTCTCATGGTTCTGAAGGGCGATAGCCCAGGGGTGGGAGTGGAGCCGGAGCCTCCGCGAAGCCAGTAGGGATTTCCTGCGAGGTCGGGTCTGCAGTCCCAGGACCCAGACTCAAAATCGGTCTCAGCGCCTCCTGGCGATGCAGCTGCGGGTCAAATCCCTTCCTCATTGCCTCGTCCATTCAAAGCGACAGCCCCCTGGCGGGGCTGCGGGGCACTGCATTGAGAAGAGCAGGGAGCGCAGGGCACCGGGCCTGGCTGTGTGGCCTTGGAGCCCTGGCCGAGGCGGTGGCAGCACATTCGCGAGGGCGATCTTGGGACGGGGCCACCGAGCCACACATTTCGCTGGCGGCTGCTCTGCCGGTAGCCACGGAACAGTGTGGTGCTCTCTGTGCTGCCAGCCCGAGGGGCGCGAGAGCGGGGCCGCCTGCCCATGCTGCCCGGGACCCGCAGAGGTGCAGCTGCTGTGTCATTAGGCTCTAACCACCCCACTAAATTCTCCCAACTGGAGCTGGTGAGCAGGACAGAGCAGCCTCTCCCAGGGAACGGCGGGAGAGGCGCCAGCGTCGCCATGGCAACGCGGCCCTGTGGAGTCGGCTGAAGTTACTCGAGCTCCGCATGTCACGTCACGAGCATTTTTCAAGATTAAGCTGCTTACCAGAAGGGTTCAGAGGAGGCCTATTCTATTTCACGAAAATGGAAACTACAGAGCAGGTCAAATCGCAAGCCGGGTGGTTTTAAGCTGGATCCAAGAAAAACACTGAAGGATTTTTTAGCTGTGCCCAAGCTGGGGCCTTCATGTTTATTAGCTACTCAAGGCCAACTTCTGCAGAAAGGATCAAAACCAGAAACGGGTTTGTTGAGCCAGCCTGGGCCAAGCCTGTGCAGCTAGGAGGGGGCCACTGCCAGCTTGGGGGCTGGCGTCATCAGAGGGCCGACCCTAGCAGTGAGAGGCATAGACCCCACTGCCATGCAGGGTGGCCGCCCCTCACAGTCTGAAGTCGGCCTTTGGTTCTGGCCAGCTCACTCGGTCCCTTTGATAAAGATGGCGTGGGCCTGGCCTGTGTGAGAGTGCTGATGTGGATGGTGAGGTCCATGGTGGCCTGGCGTGGGCAGGAGACCACAGCCAGAGGCACCACATTTGCGTGGCGGCCCCCATGTCAGAGCGCAGAATGCAGCAATGACAATGGGAAAATGAGGCAGCCTCCTTTCTACAGGAAACTGTCATCCTTAAATAACAAAGAACAAAACTTACTAAGTTGGACTTGGGAGACAAAGAATATTCACAACCAGGGAAGCTCAGGTCGGGTTAATCACGTGCGGCATGGCAAAGGCTCGGTGCACCTGAGCTTGTCTGACAGACTCTTGCTACTTTCCCATCCCCCAGCTGTTGTTTTCTTCATTTCTTAAACATCTGCTACATGGGGCACTGGCTGATAGGGCCAGAGATGCACACGATCCACCCCCAACCTCAGGAGTTCCCGTCACTGGGTTGTGGGGTGCGGCTTCCAGCAAGAGAGAGGACACGCAGGAAGACAAGATTCCGATGGGGGAAGGAGCATGAGTGCCACCAGAATAGCCCTGCGTGTCGTGTAAATCAGGATGGAGGGACCTGAGGCTGGGGGTGGCAGAGGGGAAGGGCGATCATGCATAACACTTACACTTTCTGGAACACAAGAAAACTTCTCTGAAATCATAAAAGGCACACCATCCATTGCTGCAAAGAAGAAAAAAAAAAAGATGGCATTAAAGGTACTGAAGATGGCTTTTAGTTGTCCAGCAACCGAAGATGTCGAAACAGAGAATATGAATCCGTCACTGGATGGAGCCAGGTGACATCTAGCACAGGTGTGCAGGAGCTATGAAAACGGACAGATCCCACCCTTGTTGCCAGGACACACAACGTGCTGAGAGAGGCAGGCGCCTCGTCATCCCCTGAGCACCAGGCAGTTGTGTAGACAAGAGCTCTAGGAGCAGAGAGGGGCTGGTCTAGAACCCCCACTCTCCACCCCTGGAGTCTGGTCTCTGATCTGTAACGGGAGAGTCACCAGGGGCTGACAGCCGGATGAAGGTGACACAGCTGGTGGGGACAGGCTGCACTGAGATGAAGGCAGTAGGCACGTGCATTAGATATGCTCTAAGGTGCTGTTGGGCTCAGGGGAAAAGTCTAAGTGGGAGGAAAGAGGAGCTCAGGAGTCAGATTGGCTGGGTTCAAATCTCAGCTGGTGACTGCAGATGAGCAACTGAAGTTAAAAGATGAAAAACTGAAGTTACATTTAAAAAGACGGCACTGCCTACATGACAGGGTGCCTGTGCATCAGAAGTGGAGTGGGTGGGGCGCCTGGCCAGCGCTGGCACAGAGCGGGTGCTTGGCAGGTGGGGGCGACAGTGGCTGTCGCTGACTCTCAGTCGCTCAGACCCAGGGCGTCAAGCGCTGACTTGAGGCTCACCAGTGTGCTCAATTTTAACAGGAAAGGGCATGGAATGGAGATGCAACAAACGGAAAAACCAGGGGCCCAGGGGTGTGGTTCCTTTTCTGTGGCCGCCCCTCCCTCCACCCTGTCCCAGGGGATCACTATCAAAAGCACACGGACAAAAGTGACCCAGGGTGTGCCTCCATAAGTGAGCGCTTCTCTATGAATTACGACCTCAGAGAGGAGGACTCTGGTGCCACACCAGGACTGGAAATCCTGCCACGTTGAGGAACAGGTCACACTGGATGAGATGTGATGCCAGCATTTGCAGAGCCAACACGGCAGCATGTGGCTGCTGGGACAGTGGTAGGGGCCTCTCCAGTGTCAGCTTCTCCCTTAGGTCTGGGAAGAGTCGGGAACATGCACTGTAGTCGTGCGGGGCCTGGTCATGAGTGCAGGGATGCGAAGCCCCAAAGTCAGGGGTGGCCGCACCCTGAGGTGGTGGCTTTGCAGTAAATTGTGGTTTCAGGGAGAAACGGAGTGAACAGAATGGAAGCCAGATAGAGTGTGGGGGCAGCACTGGGCAGTGCGCTCCCAAGAGCGACAATCTTTGCTTCCCCCAACGTCTCCTGGAATGATGACTTCTCTGGAACCTTCAGTGGTCATATTTTTTTTTCTCAGTCCTAACAAAGAAGAGTAGTAGAAGCAGAAAGCAACAAAACAAGAGGAAAGGACATAAGAGAAGGAGAAGAAACTCGGGACAGATCCTCCCAATCAGCAAGAAAAGCTGAATGGCTCATGCTATGTTCATACAGAAATAAAACATCATAGAACTCATCCGTGCTTTATTTTAGGGAAGGAAATAAATGAAACCTTCTTGGGTCAGCATGAAGAGAAAGACACAGCACAGGTGGCGGCAGCCGCTGCATTCCCTGCACCCTCCTTTCTTAGCAGGGGTGCTGTCTAGTGTGGTTGCTGGACTCAGACACTCCTGGTCAGAGGCCTTTTCAGGTGGTGCTGGCAACCTGCTGTGAGCTGCCGGAAGAGACGGGACAAAGGGCCCGAACAGGCAACACTTCCCCAGAAAGTGGGGTGAGGGGAAGGCCCCATACAATCTCATTCAGTATGTCCCGCATTCGGGCCTCAATCTCGTTCAGTACATCCCGCATGCAGACCTGTGCGTGAACTCTGAGCACCTATGCGTGTGTGATGCTTCACAGATGAAAAAGTTCGGCAATGAATAAAGGAGCCTCGAAGAGCCACAAAGCCTTCTAGAGAGGGACAGAGTCCCACTGGATATCCAGGAAGAGGTGTGCCAGCTCCCGCCACCGTGGGCCCGACCTGACTTCCAGGCCCTTCCCAGTGCTGCTGAGATGGGCTGGGCACTTGTAACACTTCTGATCATTTTAGAGATTGGGAAGCAGAGGCTCTGAGAAGTCGGTGCTTGCTGGGGTCACAAAGGTAGGCAGCAGTGGCCCCAAAGCTCTAGATAGTACAGGCTACTTGACCTCCCCATTAAAGTCCCAAAGCCCACTGTTTTCACCCATCACGGTCCACACGTCCCGCTCTCTGCACACACCCACCTCTTCCATGGCTTCTCTTGCCTGCTAGACAGACAGCAGGGTCCACAGCAGAGTCCTCCCTGCACGCCCAAGTACTGCGCACAGGCTCCGGAAATAGTGAGTGCTCACAGGCACGGGACCCAATGCTGGGGGAGTTTCTCAGCGAGCCCAGCCTCTGCACACACCCGCAAGCTGGAGACCACGCCTTCCTTGCTCCCCTGTAGAACCCACTCTCCATTCATTCCCCAGGCTTTCTGCCTCTGATGTTTTAAAGACCTTATTAGTATTTGGGGGTGAAGAACTGCCTCTCACTGGTGACAGTTGTTTCTATCTACATGTCACTGTATGTTTAGGGAACCTGTGTGTTAAAAAGGTGGTAAGGTGATGTGCAAAGACCTGATTACACCAGGACCTGAGGGGGCTGGGAAGTACTGGGGATGGCAGAGAGGAAGCGGGGGGGCTCCTCCCATGGGAGGCCTCCCTAGTCAGAGGCTGTCAGTACCGTCTGTGCCTCCAATGGACAGAGAAGGGCAGGATTTCCAAGATGGGGGTCTCGACTGGCATTGAAGGCCCTGGCCCCTTGCATCTGACCCTCTTCCTGGCTTGCCCATCCCTTCCTCCCTCTATGCTTGCACCTCAACTGTCCTTCCCAGTTTTCTGAGTGCCTCTCCTGCAGCATGCCTTCCCTGAGGCTCTCCCTGGGGTCCGGCCAGGCCTGTGTCTCCTCTCCTCTTCTGGCAGGTGCATGTGCGAGTCACCTCTGAGTTCCAGGTCCCCAGTCCAGGGGCAGGGCCTGGGGGCTCAGGGGCTGTGCTGGACAGGGAGGGCTGCTGTTCCCATGCACGGGAGTCTGGGGAACTGCGTAGGGGGCTCCAGCCTGGGGCAAGTGCCTAAACTCTCTCAGGACCTGGGGACCCTGCTTGCTGCCACCCCCGCCTGCTACTGCTGGAGATGAAAGCCATGGATGGAAAAAGCCTGGGAATCACTTCCAGGGACTGAGAAGATCTAAGCAGGGAGGGAAATGTTTTAAAAAATTCATATAAAATTAACCATTTTAAAGTGAACAATTCAGTGGCGTTTAGAACATCACAACGGTGTGCGGTCCCCACCTCCATCTAGTTCCAAAACATTTCCATCGCTCCAAAGTCAACCCCCTCACCCGTGAAGCAGTTTCTCCCTGCTCCCACAAGCAGCGTGTGTTTCTTTTTCCTTCCAACTGATGGTCATGTCTTTGAAAGAGAAGGATCTAGAAACATAGGTAGTCCTGTAAGCCTGGCTTTCTGAACACAGTAGCCAGGCCTCCTGTGACGCTGCGCTCTTGCCTCACTAGTCAGCTAGGAGATAAGGAAGAAAGGGTTTGCCCAGACTGGCTGCTCTGAGTTGAGGGCTTTAATACAAATCAAGGAGAAAAAAGTAACTTGTGGATATGGTTTGGCTGTGTCCCCACCAAATATCATCCTGAATAATAACTCCTATAATCCCCACGAGTCGTGGGAGGGACCCAGTGGGAGGTAATTGAATCATGGCGGTGGGTTTTTGCCATGTTATTCTCATGAGAGTGAATACGTCTCATGAGATCTGATGGTTTTATAAAGGGGAGTTTCCCCTGCACATGCTCTCTTGCCTGCTGCCACGTAAGTCGTCTCTTTGCTCCTCCTTTGCCTTCTGCCATGATTGTGAGCTCTCCCCAGCCATGTGGATCTGTGAGTCCATTAAACCTCTCTTTCTTTACAAATTATGCAGTCTTAGGTATTTCTTCATAGCGGTATGAAAATGGACTATACACTTGTAAAACTTAGATTATCAACAACAGTATTTTTTTGTATATATATTGACATAGTTTAGATATATGTCCCTGACAAGTCTCATGTTAAAATGTAATCCCCAGTGTTGGAGATGAGCCCTGGCGGGAGGTGTTTGGCTCATGGAGGCAGATCCCTCATGGCTTGGTGCTGTTCTCACGGTAGTGACTGATTCTCACGAGATCTGGTTAAGTGCGTGGCACCTCCCCTGGCCCTCTCTCTCACTCCTGCTCTGGCCATGTGATATGCCTGTTCCCCCTTCACCTTCCACCGTGATTGGAAGCTTCCTGGGGCTTCCCAAGAAGCAGATGCCAGTGCCCTGATTCCTGCACAGCCTGCAGAACTGTGGGCCAAGAGCCAATTCAGTCTCTGTTCTTTATCAATGCCCCAGTCTCAGGTATTCCTTCATAGCAATATAAGAACAGCCTAACACACAAATATATATATCACATATATTATGTAAAAATATACCTTTACATAGATTATAGATTTATATTTTGTATATAGAATATGTAAGATATAAATTATATATTTCCATTATAAGTGTATACATATGTATATGCATACACACACCCATATATGATTAGGACAAGGCCTTCCCTTAGCCACTGAGAGACTGCAGGGAGTGGGCAGGGTGCTCACCCCGCCTCCCAGTGGGCCCTGAAGTCCCTCAGAGGCACTTCCTGTTTATCTGCTGGCCCTCCCCACACCTGCCTCCAGCAGAGAAGCCCTCCCTCCCAGACCTTCTGGGGCACCCTGGGGAGTTGGTGGGGCCCATGGCCAACCTGCTCCACATGAAGGCGTCGAGGTGTCTGGGTGAGGGCACCTTCTGGCCCTGAGGCAGGCTCAGCAGTAACACCTTAGTAAGGAGGCAAAGATGAGAAGTGAGATCATTGCAGGATGCCCCACAGCAGCCACTGGGAGGGAAGGAAGACCCAT